GGGCAACAAATGTACAAATGTGCTTGACACAGTAGATGTATGTATGGATTATGATAAGAGTTGTACGAGCCCCCAATAAAATAATTTAATAAAAATAAAATAAAATTACTAGTGGATGTCAATATTCTGACTCCTGGTAACCCCATGTATCTCAGAGAAGAATTGTGCTCCATAGAGCTTTCAATGGCTGATTTTTCAGAAGCAGTTCCACCAGGCCTTTCTTCCAAGGCACCTGGTGGTAGCAGCTGAGCAGGTTAACCATTTTGGACCCCCACCCAGGGACCCCCTCAGAAAGATGGATTAACCTGAAGCAGGATGAGCTCTCAGTCTTGAGAGGGATTCCCTCAGGGTGTGGAAAATTAACCTTTGAACGCCGGCCTACCTCGCTGGGTTATGCTTCACCAAAGGTAAGGACAGTGGCAAACCTGAGTCTAGCTAATCAATGGACACCATTTTTCCAAGAGCCCGTGCCCACTTCGTGTCTCTGTGTCACATTTTGGTCATTCTCACACTACTTCAAAACTTCTTCTTGTCGTGCAGTAGAGAGCACATTTAAGAGATCACACTACAGGGTAAACACATCTTTTTATGCGATGGTCAGGCAAAACATAATTCCTGTGACTTGCTTCACTGCGGTATTTGCTTTGTTGTGGGGGTCTGGATCACAACCCACTGTGTCGCTGGCGTCTGTCTATCTGTCCATAGATGATAAACTTCTCCACCTCTGCGCTCCTCCATGAAGGCGGGGAGGGGTAGTGGTGTAGTCTAAAGGTGAGTGGTTCAGTATGGAGCTTGGGGGAAGTGGAAAATATTTGGAGTACCCTCTGATGGCACGGGACAAAAGCTACGTCCACAGTGTATGAATTTCGTCTCCTCCCCACACACTTCTGTACAGGGATGTCCAGTTGCCCACAGATGGGCTTTGGGTACCAATCTTCACTCCCCCTCATTCACAATGATATGATTTTTTTGTTCCTTGATGTCTGATACCTGATCACTTCAACACCTCGTGATCGCACAGGCTGGTGTGCTTCTTCAGTGTAGCAATGATGAAACATACAACTTTCCTCTTGTTCTTAAATGCTCTCCCCACGCCCACTATCATAATCCCAATTCTATCTTACAAATCTGGCTAGACCAGAGGATGTACACTGGTGCAGATAGGAACTGGAAACACAGGGAATCCAGGAAAGATGATCCCTTCAGGACCAGTGGTGAGAGTGGCGATACTGGGAGGGGGGAGCAAAAGTGGGGTAGAAAGGGGGAACCAATTACAAGGATCTACATATAACCTCCTCCCTGGGGGATGGACAACAGAAAAGTGGGTGCAGGGAGACGTCGGACAGTGTAAGATATGACAAAACAATTTATAAATTATCAAGGCTTCATGGGGGGGGCAGAGAGGGAGGGGAAAATGAGGAGCTGATACCAAGGGCTCAAGTAGAAAGCAAATGTTTTGAGAAAGATGATGGCAACAAATGTACAAATGTGCTTGACACAATGGATATATGTATGGATTGTGATAAGCGTTGTATGAGCCCCCAATAAAAATGATTTAAAAAACCAAAAATCACACATAGCATATGAATTTGAGGAGACAGAATGGGTTAGCATATGCAATAATGCTACAATAGTATAATGAAAGAAAAAACACAGAAAGCTAAGGGACATATCCAAAATATAGTAGTGTACACATTTTTGTTTGTTATTATTATTGATGGTAGTTTCTATCGAGCTAGGTCCAACTCATCATGACCTCCACATAAACAGAAAGAAATACTGCCCAGTCCTGGGCCATGCTCACAATCTTTGTTAAGTTTGATCCCCGCTGTTGCAGATACTGTGTCAATCCATCACACTGAGAGTCTCCTTTGTTGAGCCTCTACTTTACCAAGCATGCTGTCCTTCTCCAGGGACTGGTCTCTTGATAACATGTCTCACTATAACACCCTAACAAAGTCTGACCATCTGTGCACGCTGTCTGTGTTCCTCAAAGCCAGATTTGCTTGTTTTTCTGGGAATCCACAACATTTTCAGTACTCACCAGCCTTCATAATAAGTGTGGTGTTCTTCTGTGGCCATTCTTATTCAGTGCCCAGCTTTCATCAGAGGTGACTGATGTACCATGTAATAAGCCTTCCTCCAATCCTAACGCCACATTCTTCTTCATCTAATCCGGTTTCTCAAATTGTCTGCGCAGCATACAGAGTCAATATAGTGATAGTGCAGCTAATTCTTTAATATGGTCTTCCAGTTATAGTTTTTGTAAATTCCCACTAAATGACTTTTTCCCGATGAGTCTGGGTTAGAGAAGATGGTAGAAGATACTGATAGGATTATATGAGTCAGTTGTGAAGGGTTACTAACAGGGCTAATTGTGGTTACCATCTTGCTAACTACCAGTAAAAGATGTGGGGCATGAGAGAGGCACATCCTTTGGATCCTAAGATCCTTACACAGAGGATCTCCTTGATCCAGGAGCAACAGAGGAGTGGCAGAAGAGCAGCGGCAGAACCAGGATCCAGAGCATGAGACCTAATGGTGGACTTTTCAGCCCACAGAGCAAGCACGGTCAAGTGCCTTTGGACAGGAAGCTGGCTTGTGGAGTAGGGTGCCTCCTGGCACTTCATTGGGAGATCAAGGTTTGTTGACCCATGTACCTAGAGCTGAATACCTTCAGGCTGAAGCTTATGGTGGAGTGGAATGCCCTGTGGGCATTTCTTAGCAGCGCTAAAAGAGAGCCATAATATTGTCTTAGCATGGCAGAGGTCAATGGAAGGCCAAAGATCAGTGAGACGCCTGCCTGCCAGCATGACTCAAAGACAGTCATGTCTCAAAAATGGCATGCTGAGCATCTGTAACCCATTTACTTCCTTAATAAACTACATAATTGTGAATGTTGTCTGTGAGCTCTGTGTAGCCATTGCAAATTCCCTAACTCCATTGAAAAAGCAGAGAGAATGGTGGGAGGGACAATCAGCGTCAGAACTGGTTGGAGGGTGGAGCATGTCTGACGTCAGCTACATAGGAATAGGCCCCAGAAAGCTGATGTTGATCATTTTCTTTCCTCCTTGTGAAGTCAGAGGAGGTCAGAGGTCATCATTGATTCCTACAATGGTGGAAGGATACAACCCTGAAACACACCTCTCTTGATTTTAAACCACACATGTAGTATTTCTTTGTTCTCTTTTTATGATTGCCTCTTGGTCTATGTACAGGTTCCACATGAGTACAACGAAGTGTTCTGGGATTCCCATTCTTCCCAATGTCATCCATAGTTATGATTACACAGTTGAATCCTGGGCATAATCAATAAAACACAAGCCAGGTGGATGAAGCTAGTCTAGAAATTAGCAGAGTCTGACTTGAAATGGGCATCACACTCAAGGAGAAGCTTCAGATCTGCTGACCGCAGAGCAAAGACCCTGTGGGGTCAGACCTCAGTTTTTCTGGCCAGGGTCCTGAGCAAGTCCACTGGGATGGCCAATGCTATCGATTGGATCCTATTTCCCAAAAGGTTGTGTCAACCTGGCTAGGCCATAATCCTCAGTATTATGTAATCTGTCTCCATCTTGTGATCTGATGTAATCATTCTACGAGTTGTAAATCCTAACCTCTGATATTAGTGAGACGGGATACAATCTACAGAATCCAGTTGTACCTTGAGCCAATCTCTTTGGGGATATGAGAGAGGATCTAAGAATGAGCAGAGATCAGAGGGACCTGACTACCACTAAGAAAGAAGAACTGGAAGTAGCATGTATTCTTTGGACCCAGGGTCCCTGTGCTGAGAACCTCCTAGACATAGGGAAGATTAATGGCAACACACATGGAAATCTCCAAGGAATGTCAGGAAGGAGACCAGGACCTTCCCCTAGAGCTGAAAGAGGGAGAAAGCCATCCCCCAGGGTGGCACCTGAATTTGTACTTTGAGACTTTTAAACTGCATGTGAAGAAATGCCTGTTTGAGAAAACCACCCCTGTGGCATTTCTGTCACAATTGCACTAGGTAACTAAGAAAGCCGACAAGCTCTTGGGGCTAGCCAACTATTGCCTAAATAAAAGTGGGTCCATGCCAAGAGAGGCGACAGTGATTGCAACACAAGGTCACCAGGCAAATGGACATGTTTGGAGAACAGATGGTATGAGGACATGTCAGCAGTGACGGGAGCCAGAGGTGAAATGAAATGGCTATAAATAGAGCCCACAAAAGCATTATGAAATCTAAGCCCAGCCCTGAAGTTAACGCTTCCTGGCAATGTGCTCGGCAGCTGATAAAGAGGCCAGTTTGGCACAGGGCAGTCTGAGGGCGCCCAGCTTCAAGTGAGGTCACACCATCCATAACTCACGGCTGGTGTCCAATGGCTGGGGAGGCAGAGGGACAGGGCTCCGGGGGCCTGTGCTGGCATGGTCAGAAGGGGGAATGTTACCATCATTGCATGGGGGGGGGGCGGGTTTCAGGGGTTCCTAAAGGAAGGGATGGAGCTAAGGGCTCAGGGCAGGCCTGGCACATTACAAACACTCCATCAGTGTTAGCTGCTTGTCCAGCATGACACGGACACACATCCACCCAAATGAACCAACATCTCCCTCCTGACTGTCCCACCCGTGAGAATTCACGCATGTGCCAAGTCGTGAGAGCCTTCAGGAGACCCAGCGTCCAATCTGAGCTTCACAGGCAGCTGGAGCAGCAGACTTCCCTCTGCCATGCTCCTGCCAGCCATGCCCTCTGACCACCAGCCGGTGGGCCACTCACATCCCACGGAGTAGCAAGAGTCCCACGGTAGAAGGGAAGGGCAAGAGGCAGATTGTTTTCATCAGGAATCACCAGGACCTTAATGTTGTTTTGTTCCGCCCCACAAATCACCCCGCCACCGGCATTTGATTTTTATTCCCAGAGACTTCACGCCCCAAGAGGAGGTGTCTATGTGTTTAGATGGTGCCACAGTGGCTTCCCGGGAAGCCACTCTTGGCCCAGGGGCTGAGTGGCCCTCGCTCACCTTTGTACTCTGGCAGACACACGCACTCGTAGCCGTTGACCAGGTCCCTGCAGGTGGCAGCATTCAGACAGGGGGCCGAGAGGCACTCGTTGTCCTCCTCCTCACAGTAGAGGCCATGGTAACCTGAGGGATGAAGAGGAAGGTGGCCGTTAGACTCGCCCCTTTCAAAATGCCCGCCCCACCAGCCTGCAAGTGAGGCTGCTGCCGCTGTCAGTGCCGTCCGGGCAATTCCAACTCATGACAGGCTCCCGGGCCCAGAGCAGAACTGCTCCTGCTCCCTGCGATTGGCAGAGGCCACAGAGCAGCAGGCCTGGCTTCCAGGTTGCCTCTGGGAGGTTTTGAACTGCCAACCTTCAGAATAGTGGTAGAGCGCTTCCCCGAGTTCATTGGAAAGCATAGCGGACAGATGGGGTCTTGGAGTATAATGGAAATGTGCACTCGGGGAAAGGAGCACAGTGGATTAAGCATGGGGCTGCGAAGTGCAAGGTTGGCAGCTCAAACCCACGAGGGGAGAGAGACACTGCTGTCTGCTCCTGAGAGCCGTTCTACTCTGTCTACACAGGGTTGTTATGAATTGGAGTCCACTTGATGGCTGCCATTTGGGCTTTGGGATATTTGGGGGGAAAGCGATGAGGAAGGACGGGGCCCAGGTGGTACGGTGCTTAAAGAACCAGGTAACCAACCTAAAGGTCAGCCGTTCAAGCCCACCAGCAGCTCCAAGAGGGAAAGAAGCACCAGTCAACTTCCATAAAGATTGAACCCACTACCCCTGAGTCCTTCCCGACTCATAGCGACCCCGACTCCAGTTTCCTAGACTGTACATCTTTGCAGGTGTAGACAGCCTCATCCTTCTCCCCTGGTGACTTTGAACCGCTAACCTTGCAGTTAGTAGTCCATTGACTAACCCACGGTCCCACCAGGGATAAACCAAAGCTTTGGAAGCCAGATGGGGCAGATCCACCCTGTCTAACAGGTTGGCTAGGAGTTGGCATTGGGATTAACTAGTTAGCAGTACTGGTGACCAAGTCATCGTGGGAGCGAGATTCCCAAATGGTCTTCTGTGGCCAGAGTACACAGGAGACAGAGATGATGGTGGACAACCTGGTATGGGCATAAGTGTGCCCTTCAAGATTGTGCACCACGCTTTCCTCCTAGTCCGTTAGAAAGAGAGATCCAACTGAACACCATCTTCTAGAGAAGGAAAGTGGTCGTGCCTGCCCATGGCTTCTCACGGCAGAACAAGAAACCCAGCTCCGAGGGCTTGACAGAACTGCCTGTCTTAACATCTGATGCCCCGGATGATAACATTTCAAGTTTCCCAGGCCTCTTGTCTTTGCATTATTAGCGACATCGTAAGAAGAAGGATCCCGATGAGAAAGAAAGCGACGGTTCCTTCACAGAGCCAGTGCCTTCCCTGTTTGCAAAACAGGTGTTTGCGCTAAAAAACAAGAAGACCATGTTCCCTGCTACTCGCTCGTGCATGTGATGCTGTTTTTTGACTTTCAAAAACACACGCGACTGCCAACACCCAGTGGATCCAGGCCGTTTGAGTCTGGCCCTGTCCAAACAAAGAGAAGCATGTGAACGTTTTCAAAACTCACCCTGTCTGTGTTGGTTCTGAGTGCAGATAAGCAGGGAAAGTAAATAAACCTTTGCCCGAGTGGAGACCAGAATGACTAGCTTGTTATTTTGTTTTACCCAGTCCTTCCTACTCAAGGTCAAGCCACAACTCAGACAGTACCGTGAGCAGTTTGATTTCTTGTTCCTTGCCCCAAAGTAGGGGGCTCACGTGTTTTCGTTGTAAATGGGGTCACGTGTCTTTCAGTTGGCTTTAGAACTGCTTCCCTAATGTAGCCAGTGATCACAGCTCCTTAAGATGCCCTGGTGGCACCAGGATTAGGTGGTCTGGTGCTCTAAAGCCTACCCGGGAGCCGTGAGGGGGAAAGAGCTGGGGGTCTGCTTCTTTCAAGAGTTCATCCAGAAGAACCCCGGGGGTGGGGAGGGGGTGGGGGAGCAATGAGTCAGATGGACACCAAGCGGCACGCTGAGATAAATAATACCATGGCTTGCTACTCGAGTCTTTGATCACACCCGGCTTCTGTTATTTGGGCAGAAATAAATCCGATGGCCTCTTCCTCAGATTATGTCACCTCTCTAGAACCAATGGGTCTCCCCTGGCAGCAAGTTTGCCTTCCTCGGGCCCAACTGGGGACCTGTTCGGGCCTCACAAGTTGGGATGCGGGTGCTACTTGGATCCAGTAGGTAGAGGCCACGGATGAGGCTAAGCATCCTACTGGGCATAAGACAGCCTTCGCACAATAAAGAGGTGTCCAGCTCAAAGTCTCCATCGAGGTGAGGGCCAAAAATTCCTGCTCTGGGGCAGGACTCAGTGATCTAGAGCCTCATAGGTGGGAGTTAGGGGCCATTGAGTGGGTTCCAACCCATAGCAACCCTCTGCGAGACAGACGCGACACTACCCTTTCCTGTCCCACCCTCACTATGGTTCCGAAGCTTGAGAGCATTGTTCCACCCCCTGTCAGTCCATTTCATTGAAGGCTTTCCTCTTTTTATGCTGCCCCTCTATAGATTGCACCCATCTGAAATAAATGAATAAAGTTGTACGGACCCCTAGCCAAGGCCATCCATTTATGTATTGCCTATGGACACCTTCTGTTTCCAACGACAGCATCATCGAGTAGTTACAACACAGGGATTTTACTAGGTGACCCTTGATGGAAAATGTTTGTTGACCCCTGACCTACATTCAACGGAAGATTGCTCATCTTACAAGAGTTAAGTGCCCTTGGCTGCTTCTCCTAATTATAAGAACCATTTTATGGTCCACGTGGGACAATAAACCAAAAGAATATCATTTCTGTTTATCCATTCTCCAAGCATAGCTCTTAAAAAATATCAACTTGGAAGAAATAGAGATAACCCTGGAAGCATCTCTAACATGCCTTGAGGTCTTATTTACACAGGCAATAGTCAAAAAACAAATTTCCTGAAATTGTCCATTCCTGTTTTTGTTGCTTGCAAACTGCCTCATTATCTTTTCCCACGAACAACGTGGAAACCAAAGGAGGGCATTATTTTACACCGATAATTAAGCGGGTGATGTTTTCCTTCCTGGGAAAAGAAAACAAGGCAAAGGTGTCATTTTCAAAAGTGGTTTCTTCAGAGATGGTAACCTTTCGGTGCCTTCCTGCATGGGAATATCACGGCATTCTTTACACAGGGAGCCAGAGAACGCACACTGCAGTGAGCCCATGAAAAGAAGACAACGCTTCCCAAAGGAAAAGCTTGCTTTGAAAATGAGACTGTTCCCCTGATAGTAATTTGACCAAACAAATTAGCTCAAGGCAGGATGCCCAGAGTCTGAAAAATTAGGTTAGTCCAAAGAATTTTGTTCAAAATAAGAAATAAAACATGTAGCGTCAGAGCCGTTCCTTCTAGGGTGTGAATCTTTACCTCCGGTGCTCTGTTCTCTGCATGATTTGCGCCCAATTCCAAACGAGTTTCTTTTAGAATTGACAGAGCATGGCAAACACCCAAGCAAATGGTTCAACACTCAACTGCTATCGGTCCAAACACATCCAGCGGTGCCACGGAAGAAAAGCCTGGTGCTCTGTTTCCACAAGGGCACAGCCTATGGAATACCATTCCACTCCACAGACATGGGGTCTCCATGCATCCGAACCAACGGGACGTTGACAAACAACAACCACATGCCATCAACGGCCTAAGGGAGGAAGAGCAGTAGAAATGGCTGCCATGCTCAGACTGAGTGAGTGGATGATGGTGCCAATAACTCAAATAGGTACAACCAGTAAGTAACCATACTTCGGGGAAGTGGAGACCAGTTCGATTTTGAACATGTTTAACTTATGTTTCTCTAAGAGTGGCCCTCATGGTAGTACAAAAGGTGAACTTGAATTTCCTAGAAACACCGCTTTCGGGGGTGGGGTCACTGGGGAGTGAACTTAAATTTCTCATCAAAGAACTTCAGCTTAAATATGTTTTGCAGTTTCTAGAGCCATCGCTCATGAAAGAAAAACAAAGCGTTCTACTCCCATAAAGAGTTATAGTCTCAGAAACTCTGTAGCATTGCTAAGAGTCAGCATTGGCTGGATGGCAGTGAGGTTTTGAGTGAGAGCAATCCAAAAGACGTATAAGTGGCAATGTTCAGACAGGAGAGAAAATGGAATCATACAAAAATGCTCATTTAAAACCAGAACATGCAACCAAGAGCAGAAGACAAAAAAGAAACAAAAGATGAAGGCAATAAACAGGAAATTGTTACAAATATGGTATCTAGTATACCAATTACCACAGCAGATTAAGATTCACCTAACCCAAGCCATGGGATTTTCAATCCTATCATATACCTGAGAAAGTTGGATAATGGATAAGAATGACCAAAATAGAAGTGATGCCCTGGAATTCTGGTGAGTTATGATGTTTGCAAACTGCTCCCAAAACTAACAAATCTGTCTTGAAAGAAGTATAGTCAGAGAGCTCCTTAGAAGTGAGGCTGGTGGGACTTCATCTCAAGTAATTTGGATATCATCAGACGGGCGCAGTAGCTGGAGAAGGAAATCATGTTTGGTCAAGTAGCAGGTACAAAAACAAGAGGAAGATCTCAACCAAATGGATTGCCACAGTGGCTGCAACAATGGGTGTGAGCACAGCAGCCACTGTGTGGATGATGAGGGACCAGACCGTGTTGTGTTGTGTTGTGTTGTGTTGTATATAGGGTCACTATGAGGCAGAAGCAAGTCAACAACAAATAACAATATTAATACTCTCTTAAAATGCATAGAATTGGGATACATCAATCTAGAGACAGAGACTATCAGAGTGGACCGCCCCAAAAGAGCAAGACCCAAGTATGTTTTCTATAAGAAAAACCACTTTACTATTATGAATAAATAGAGGAAGAAAAGAAAGGTGGTCGACCAAGGTCAGACTCCCACATGGAGGTGCAGGTGGTCAACAAGGAGTCAGGTTATAGGTAGGGATTGGGAGAAGAAGCAGAGGCAGATTGGGGTAAGGAAAAGAGGAAGCCCAAGTTCAGTGTCACCGTGCAAGAAGTAGAGAGCACGTCAAGAAGGGGTGGTTGC